TGTGTGTGTGTGTGTGTGTGTGTGTGTGTGTGTGTGTGTGTGTGTGTGTGTGTGTGTGTGTGTGCGCGTGTTTGTGCGTGAGTGGGTGAATGTGTGTGTGAAGAGGAGAACACATGGGCGTCGCAGGTGGTTGGGGCGGGTCTCACATGGGAGGCATGCATGGCAAAGCCAGCCAGATGCGTGCCGGCAATGTGGACAGGAAAATTGCTGCGGCGCACGAAAATTATGACCATGTCAAGGTGCTTGATCAACAGGGAGATGACGATGCTGTGCATTTGTATCAGCATGGCCCTGCGCGGGATGCAGGCTCACCCCGCAAAGCCGTCCAGTGTGTCGGGCCAGGCACCGTATGCGGCAGGCACCTGCAGAGCAGGGTTTGATGAGATTGCATGCAAGCGCACGTGCCAGCAGGACGAGGCACGGAGCCCATGTGCATGGTGCAACAACCATCCGCATGATGCCACCGGCACCCCGTTGCCTGCATGCACGCTCTGGCGCTCCCCGGTCAACACGAGTGCAGGAGTAAGCAATAGCATTGCGCGTGCATGGCCCCCCGCCAATCGCACCTGGTCGCGGTACTTGCATGAGCCTTGCTGGTTGTCATCGTAGAACGTCGCCCGGCCATCAACCCAGTCACCGTCGCCCGCGGCGGCTGGGCGCGTGGCGGTGCAGAGCAGCAGCATGGCTGCCAAAAGGAAGGCGTGCATGGCGTGCATGGCGTGGACCTGGAGAATGATTGGCACATAGGAGATGGACAAGGCTTGAGAGGGACAGCAAGGCCGGCAGCCACTGCAAGGCCAGAGGCATCCAGGAGTGTGACAGCAGCCAGGGCTTTTTGTTCGCGCCAAAGAGCGGTGGCCCAATCAAGGTGGAAGCGCGTTGTGAGCCTGAGCTATGGATGATGGGCGTGCACTGCGCATCGCAGTTCAAATTTGTTTCCCGCTGCCTGCTGCTCTCGCTCCGCCGCTAGCCCAAGGGCCAGTCGGTAAGCTTTCTAACACCACGTGTAGTGTGGCCTCACCGATTTCAGGTGTCGTCTGAAGTCTGAGCGAGCGACGACGACGTGATCTCTATGCTTGAGCGTCGCGTGGATAAGAGTACGGTAGAGATAAAATTGGAAGAACACTGGCTGATGCATACGTTCTGCAAAGAACATATGAATTGCTGCAGCGCAGCGGCGCAGCTAAGTACTTGGAACCACGCCGTGCATGATTCAAACCCAGGCGGCGTCTACTCGCCTGCTTCCCGCTCAATCGCGCTGCTTCAACGCGGGTTGGTTTGAGACATGCAACCGGCATGTCACAGGACAACCTGACTCCAGGGTCCTGGGCCTGCCAACATTGTGCTGTCAGGTTGGGTTGCGATCTGATAAACAAGCGCGTGCTTTTGCCCACACTGCCATGCATGCTACCATGCTGCACTGCAGCAGGGCATGCCCCGCAGACGCACATGCACGGGTTCTGCTTGACAAGGCCTGCACGCCACCACATCGATGTCTGCATGCGAATGCAAAGTTATGCTGGTTGGGTTTGAGCCGCCAGAGCGATGAAAGCGCGCGTTCACCGCTCTTGATCCGGTGCTGCCTCAGCAGGTGCTGTGGGCACATTTTCCACAACCTTGATCCGCCCCGACAGGGCCCCGCCGCGCGCCAGCCCCTGCAGCTGCACCAGCCGCGCGCGCCATCGCTCCCCAAACGCCGTGGCCACGACGCGCCGCCACCGACGGTCAGTATAAGGACTGTCCTCCTCCTCATCATCATCATAATCATCTGCAGAGTCGTCGCCATTGTTGCTATAACCACCAATGGCATCCCCCTTGCGGCTGCCGGGGTCCACATCCGCCTGGTCTTCACTCCAGCCAGCCCCGCTGTTTGCAGCCAGCGCAACGCTGCCGGTTCTGCTGCCGTTGCGCACGACTGTGCTGCTTGTGCTCGCGCTTTGGCCCCTGCTGCTCGCCGCAGGGCCCCAATCCCTCTCAAGCTGCTGCTGCTCGGCCTGCACAAGCGTTCACAGGCGGGGCAGAGCGTCATGTGGCAGTGGCCCCATGCACCATAGCCGTGCCCGCATGCAATGTTTGGGCCTGTTGGCCAACAAATGCAGTCAACTGCATGCCGAGCGCCCGTCCGGCCCTGGACCCCTTCCTGAAGCCAGCGCTCACCTCTCCTACAATATCTATCCGTAGCTCTAGCCGCTGCTGCGGAACGTCACCCGCCGCCAGCCGCTCAGGCCACTCCACCAAGCAGACCGCGGACGAGAACGAGGTGCCCAGGTCAAGCCGGCCCATGCCGGGGCCAGGCTCTAGCCGGTACAGGTCAAAGTGATGGATGGGGGGACCTAGAATCGGGATTGGAGTGGGGTTAGAGGTGGGGTTGAGGTTGGGGTGAGCATCAAGGTGTTGCATGAAGCCCGCGAGCGCGCGACAGAGGTGCATGCCAGGCAATTGCGACGCTACCAGCAGCAGTGCACTTGCGCCCTCGGCGCTCTGGGTCCGCATTCCACAACGGGTCATGCGAAGGAGCGTCCAGAGGGCGGGGGAGCGCCACAGTTACGTGCTGTGCAGCCGCTGGCCAGCAAAAGAACGCAAATGCTCCGCACCAGTTGTGCTGTGCAACGTACCTTCGTGATCCTCATATAACTGCTGCAGCAGAAAAGTCGGCGACGGCACTGTCAAGTAGGGGTCCTCCGTCGCAGCGCGAATGAAGGCGCGGCTGTGGGGGCAGCGCACAGAGAGTGAATTTTGGCCTTGGGCGGCGGGGGGCACAGCAACGGAGTCGTGGCAAAGCGCCCGCCGCCCTCCACACTGCGCCACCACATGGCAGCTTCTGCTAGACCAGCGCCTGCACATTCTTTGAGACCACTTATCGCCCATCATTTCATCGCTCCATCCATTGCACACCTGAATGCGCTCTTGCCAGCGCCCACATCACCAAACAGCAAATAAACATCGCCCGCCTGCAGCTCCCGTGACAGCGCTGCTGCCAGCCGCCGCAGTCCAGGCTCGCTGGTCACAATGAAGGCGGAGCTTCCTGCTTGATCATTGCCCACGGCGGTATCGCTGGCGGTTGAGGAGCAGCGGCACTGAGCGCCGCCGCCGCTGCTGCTGCAAGCGTTTCCTTGCAGAGGAAGGCGCACCGGTGCCAGCCGGACGCGTAAATTTTGGGTACACAAGTGCATGCCTCGACAATGGGAGGCCATCAGGGACCCACTTCGCCACATTGTCTCCAAAAAAACGATGAATACTGTACGGCGATCTCGGGCTTGTTGAGGTTGAGCAATACTGAAAAGCATTTTTACTGGATAGGGAACAGTATGCGCCACAACACCCTCTGTCGTGGGGGTGCGTACGTGCACAAGAACCTGTTGGGCAACTGAGGTAGTCACCGCGCACCCTTGCTGCAAGCCAAGCTCTGCGTGAGCAGCCGTGCCCAGGAGATTTGAGTTTGAACCTTACTCCAGTGTTTAGGAGTCTTCACGAGACTGTTGAGTGCCCTCGCCGTCACAGCCTGCACTTGATCTGGTCAGTAGTGGGGCCTGTGTCACAGCAGCAGGATGCTGTTTCTATTTGAAACAGCTGCGGGCTATGCCCTCTTCAAGGTCGTCAAGGAGGGCAAGCTGGAGAAGTCCGAGGTGGGGTGGGGCGCAGGCCGAAGCTTGTTCAAAGTGTGGCTGTCGAGTCGCTCTTTAGCAAGAGTGTATCCCGCAGTGTTTTGCACTGGATGCCTGTGCCGGAGGAAGCAAGAGGCCACGCCGGCACCAGCTGACACATTTTATCATCGCCCACAGGACCTGTACAAGGACTTTGAGACTCTTGATGCCGCGCAGAAGGTGGGATTCAGTCGTTGGATGGACGCATGCACTAGCAGCGACCCCACCGCCACAGCCGCGCGACGGCGGCTGCCGCCGCCCCCAGCCTTCAATCAGCATTGCAGTCGCCGCCGCCGCTTGACCGCTGCCACGCGCCCCCGCGCGTGCCCGCTGGACCGATCAGGTGGTGAAGCTGAAGGCATTCAGCAAGTTCCAAAACACCACAGAGGCGCTGGCCGCGGCGACAGCCCTGGTTGACAGCAAGCTGGACAAGGGTGCGCCGCGCCCCAGAGAGGGTCAAGGGCCTGATGAAGGCAGCCGCTCGGCGGGCGCGCGAGCGGGTGGCCCCGCGCACTCCTCAGCAGCCGCGGGACGCACCCGCAGGCCGCCCCCGACCGCTGCCCGCCCCGGCCGGCGGCCGCGGCCGCCTTCTGCAACCCAGCCGCGCGCCACGCCCCCGCCGCGCAAACCGCCGCCCCCACCTCGCCCCCGCGGCGCGCCCGGCCCCGCCCCGCCGCGCAGGCCTCAAGAAATTTCTGAAGAAGAACGCCACCGGGGAGACCCTGGCCGTCCTGGATGCGAAGCTGGGGTCTCTGATCAAGGACAAGCTCGACATCCCGTGTGTTTACAGTGGCGCGGTGCAGGAGCTCGCGCGCGGCGTGCGCGCGCAGCTCTCGGGGCTCATCAGGTGTGACGGGGCGGTGGCGGCAGTAGCAGCAACTGCAGTCGCGGCAGCGGAAGCAGCAGCAGCGGCAGCAGCGACGGCGAGGAGGCCGGTTCACGTGTGTGCGATGGCGCGTGCGGGCGCGGACCAGAGCAGGGGCTGGGACCTCACGCGGGCGCCCCCGATGCTGCTCCCTGTCATCGCAGCGGCCTGGCGGGCGCGGACCTGACGCCCATGTCGCTGGGCCTGAGCCACAGCCTGTCGCGCTACAAGCTGAAGTTCAGCCCCGACAAGGTGGACACCATGATCGTCCAGGTGAGGGCGAGGGAGGCAGCGGCGAGGGCGGGGGCACGCTAGACGGGATGGATGGGTCCGCAGGCCCAAGGCGGGCGGGGCGCGCGCGAGAGCACCCTGCGGTGACGAGGGCGCCTCTTTGGGGCTGGGCGCGGCCTCCGCCTGGCCTCCCCACATGGGCAGCCGTTGCGTAACGCCGCAGCACCAATGGCTTTGCCCCAACCGCTGACACACAGCTTCCACCTGTGACCACCGGTAAGCTCTTATAACCTGCAGTAACCTCCAGTAACCTCATGTAACCTCTTGTAACATCTCGTCACCGCCGCAACACAAAACCCCAGGCCATCGGCCTGCTGGACGACCTGGACAAGGAGCTCAACACATACGCAATGCGCGTGCGCGAGTGGTACGGCTGGCACTTCCCCGAGATGACTAAGATCGTGGGCGACAACATCCAGTACGCCAAGGCGGTGAGTCAGCGCCGCCGTGGTCTCCAGACACTCCTGGGACCGCCCCTCGCGGCGGCGACGTCACCGGGTCGCATGCCCATGCCGCCGCCGCGCCGCTCGGGGCTATGGGCCGCCGCTGCGACTCTCAATAGGGAGGTGCCCGTTGCGCCGCCGAGGGACTTGGTCGGTCGCGCCACCTGCATGCGTTAATGCGTGGCTCAGGACTTTGCTGTCCCGCTGCCCTCAACCTCCCCCTCCTAGATCAAGCTGATGGGCACCCGGGACCGCTCTGCGGGTCTGGACTTTTCGGGCGTGCTGGAGGAGGAGGTGGAGTCGGCCCTCAAGGAGGCGGCCCAGATCAGCATGGGCACTGAGATCAGCACTGAGGACCTGGAGAACATCCAGGCACTCAGCGACCAGGTGGGCGGTCGTTTACTGTTTGTGCGTGCGTGTGTATGTGTGTGTGTGTGTGTGTGTGTGTGTGTGTGTGTGAGTGTGAATGTGTGTGAATGTGCGGGTGTCTGTCGAGGGGTGTGCAGGGTTGAGCGCAAACTCCGCTGCACGCAGCTCCCGTGGGGTGATGGGGGCGGCCATGAGCCGTGGTGTCGCACCCAGGTCTGCTTGCATCAGGGCTGGGCGGCCGTTGGTCGCCGGCTCGCTCTGGCCGTGTGCCCTTGATGGCGGCGCGCTCGCCGCTCACAACACCTGGTGGTGACACCGCATGACGTCATCATGTTCACCAGGTGATCGAGCTCTCCGAGTACCGCGGGCAGCTGTTTGACTACCTCAAGTCCCGCATGGCCGCCATCGCGCCGAACCTCACGGTGAGAATTTCCTTTCACACCGTCACCAGCCGCGTGAAGGTTCCCGCCTGGCCTCATGGCAGCGCACCTCGTCGCGAAGCGCAGTCGTGGCAGCGGTCAGCAGGACCAAAGCCAGGTGGGGCCCCGCGACATCGTGCAACGCCAGCGGGCTGTTGATCCTCTTTTCTCGCGCCCCCTGGCCGCGCGCTCGCGCTGCCGCGCCGCAGGTGCTGGTGGGCGAGCTCGTGGGTGCGCGCCTGATCGCGCACTCTGGCAGCCTGATCAACCTGGCTAAGCAGCCGGCCAGCACGGTGCAGATCCTGGGGGCAGAGAAGGCGCTGTTCAGGTGCGCCCGCGACGCGGCGCCCGCGGCGCGGCGGGAGCTCGCGCGCGTGCGCAGTCGCAACAC